GCAGAAAGTCTTCGATGCTTGAAGTCAGAACTTATTCATTAATAATATATGAAAAATACACGATTTAAGACGTAATAATGCTATATATTAAATCGGCTATCAATCTATTCCCCTAAAAATCAACTTAACAGTCTTAAAACGGTGCAAGAAATATGTCAAAGAAAGAGAGGTCTCATTCACCCAGGCGTGACAAGCAAGGCAGGTCAGAAAGAGGTCGAGAAGATCGGTGGAAGATCGACCACTTCAGAACGGTCAAAGTATTATTAAATATACACCAATGAAGGGCAAGGAGGGGGAAGTGCTCTAGGCCATCAATTGCAGGATTGATGATCGAGCGGTCACTTGGCCAAGACCAAGGAGAGAAGGGCTAACATAGCCGAAATCAAGTCGATACTGCAAGGTCATAAAGACTATGGACACACAACGAAGAACTACATGCATCTGAAGGATGAAATCGAGCATTTGATTCGAGCAGGTCACTAGAAGGAATTTGTATATCATGATACAGCGAAGAAGAAAGAGAAAAGGAGGTGTCGAGAGGATTCGGTGGAGAAAGGGATGAGGATGAGATAGAGAGGAAAGAGAAGATAGAGGAGGTCGAAGAAGCGGAGAAAACAAGAGAGGTCGAGAAAGGAGTGACCGAGATGATGAGGAGGACGTCGCCCCGTATAAGAAGGGGGTCATTTACATGATTTCGGGCAGCCCTACTAATGGAGATTCAAACAATGCTCGAAAGGAGCATACTCGAGCATTAAAGAGGGAGTGAGAAGAGGTCGAAATCACAACCAGAATGTCAGTGATTAGCTTTTGAGCTGAGGACGCAGAGAGGATTCATGTAACACACAATGATGCTCTGGTGATTACGGTGGAGGTTGTTGGTTACGACGTGAAGAGAATCTTTATCGCTACGGGAAGCTCAGTGGACATTATGTTTTACGATTGCTTTAGGCAGTTGAACTTGGATATCAAGCTGATATGGTTTCAATGGAAGTGAGGTCGTACCTATGGGTATGGTGACCTTGTCGATGGCTCTAGGGACGGGTACGACCAGGAAGGTTAAAATAGTGCGATTTGTGGTGGTCGGAGCAGAATCTTCGTATAATATCATTCTGGGGAGGACGAGCCTGAATGCTTTCTAGGCGGTAGTATCGACATACCATATGACAAGTCATATATCCAGTGGGTGAGAAGGTTAGGGAGCTCATGGGTGACCAACTCACATCGAGATCATGTTACCAAACAGCAGTCGGTGTGAACATTCATAATTCTTGGAGGTTTAAGCACTCCGAAGGAGTAGATGATGGACAGACCAAGCGGATCCAGGTCAAAGTATGAAAGACCTAAGCTCGAGAAGGGAAAGCTAAAGGTGGATATTCAGCCAGGGGGAGAGATCGAGGAGATACAAATGATTGAGAAATGTGACGAGCGAAAGTTTTGAAGTGATGACCGGTTCATTGGGTTTGTTCTACCAGGGTCTGGTATCCCATATCAGAAACCAAGGTGTTGGTCAAGTGCTCAAGCTTGCTGATCACATCAGTCTAATTACTTCCAATTTATCGTGCATCTTCAACTCTGGAGCTTCCCTCTTGAAAGTTTCAGTTCAAAGTGTTTGATTGATTTTCTTTTGAGTATCTTGTAGGTCCTTAATTTTGGTTCCTTCAGCCATTTCCAAGTAAGGCTGACTCATTATACCAATTGTAATGACCCATCTTGGAATTCTGTATTTTTTTTGGTGGTATATTTCAGTATTGATTTATATCTAATTGTTGCGAACTTGAGATTGAAGATGAACCTAGAGTGAGATAGAGAGAGAAATTAGGGAGATTAATGTAGAGAGAAAAGAGGGAAAGTCACAATTTGGTTGCATAACAAACTGATTCCTTTTTGCATTTCTTTCTTATGTTTTGAACAACACCAAATGGCCCATCCTCTTGACTTCAAATATATATATCTACAATTTAACATCATTTTATCAAAATAATAATAATAATAATAATAATAATAATAATAATAATAATAATAATAATAATAATAGTAGTAGTAATAATAATAATAATCATAATAACTCAATATATCAACGTTTAATTATAAAACTTATACATAATTTAATTAAATAAATAGATAAATAATATTATATTATTTAATATATATATATATAGTAAATATGCATATTTAATATATCTATTTATTTATATTATAATATATTAATTTTTTTAAGTATGTTAATATATTATTATTATTTTATTTATTTAATTTACTATTTTTTATTTTATAATTAATTCATATGTAATACATAAATTTTGTATAATATTTATAATTTATAGTGGTATAAATTGAATTATTATACCACTTTTCATTATAAGACTTTTACATAATTTATTTATTAAATATGTTTTATATATGATATAAAAATTAGTAAAGTTAACTAAATAAATAAATAAATATGTTTATAATTTTAATATACAGTAATTCCGAACAAAAAAAAATAAAATTTATAAATAAAACATATGTTATTTTATTTTATTTTTTAAGTTATATATTTTATTTAATTTTATTTTATTATTTTTAATATTTAATATATTTATTATTTAATTAATAAATAATAAAATACATTAGTGTTAATTTAGTAAATAATAAACAATAAACAAATAAAACATATAGTATAGAATTCAATAAAATATATAATTAAAATTTAATATATTTATTTACTTAGTAAATATTTATTTAATCTTTAAATCAAATTTAATGGAAATTAAATAAAGTAAAATAGTATAAAATAACAACACAAATGCTAATAAAAGTTAAATAAAATAAGGTCATTTAATAATATAATGTTATTATTTATTTATTTAATTTACAGATTTTATTTTTGTAATTAATATATATTTAGTAATAAATTATGTATAAGTTTATAATTGAAAGTGGTATAAATGAATTATTATTATTATTTTTGGATAAAAAGTCGTTGATAGATATATATTTGAAGTTAAGTATTGAGCAAAATATGTTGCAGAACAAGTGGCAAATATACACCTTTTGACTATGGAGCTGTAGGGTTTGAACCCTCTTGTTGCCTCTTTTTTTCATAAACTTGCCACGTCAGAAAAAAAAAAATAAATAAATGAAATTACACCTAGATTGCCACATCAGCAAAAAGAAAAAACTAAATGAAATTACACGTAGGCTGCCATGTCAGCAAACAAAGAAAATTAATGAAATTACACGTAGGTTGCCACGTCAGCCGAAAAAAATAAGAAAAAAATTACTTGAAATTACACTTAGACGGGCCGCTCACGGTGACCTTCTGTAGGCGGTCAGAGACCCAAAAAACTAATTTTTTTCACCTACAGGACCATTTCCAAAAAAGTCCTTTACTGGGACTAAGAGCAAAAAAAAGGTCAGTTGAGGGATAAAAACTTTTTTTTTCCTAATCTTGGTCTAAACCATATTCACTTGGGACCATGAAATTAGAAAAAGACCATGCTTCTTTATATGCTGTATTCTGGATTAACTAAAGTGAACATTTTAAGGGGACCCTGACAAGCAATAAAGCTTATCTATCCTTATTTTCCTCAACATATGTACCTAATATATAAAGATAGGCTTCTCGCGTACACGTGAAATGTGTTGATATATACAACTATTGAAATTGCAAACAAAAGTAATCTCACATTCAATTATTCATTTCACGGCCCTATAATTTTCGGTTGTTTTGGGTGCACAAATAAATACATCTTCTATATAAACCATAAATGGTATAATTGAATCATATAATTGGACCCCAAAGATTATTCGATTGAGGAGGAGAACACAAAGTAGCCACACGCTATCTAGGGCCTCTCTCTTGTTTTGCCACAATTTATATGATATTGATAGCCTAATATTTAAAATATAAAAGACTGGCTAACATGTGGGTATAACCGTATAAGAGACAACATAAAGAAACAAATAAAGAAACAACATATGAAATATTGAAAACAATAATTGGGCTAAAAAAGATTGGATAAATGGTTAAATAATTTCTGACATGGCTATTTAGACTCAGGACCACTAATAATTTCTATGGAAATTCCACATAACTCCGCAGAAATAACACGTCACTTTTACATATCATGTTAACTGACACATCATCTCTATGTGGCTTGAATAGAACTTATAACGGGTTCTCGAAAACTAAGTAATTTTTGCTGGGCCCTTGTCGTTTTTTTAGGTTCATTCGGGTTCTTATTGGTTGGAACTTCCAGTTATCTTGGTAGAAATTTGATATCTTTTGTTCCGTCTCAGCAAATTCTTTTTTTTCCGCGTTAGAAAGTTTCAATAGCGGCTTATAAACTGACACATTATATCAACGTAACTTTTAGAATATTTCAAAATTACATAACTATAAAGATATTTCAAAAATTACTCACATATATGGGAATCCGATTAATCAATAATAATAATCTCATAATTTTTTATATCAAATCATTTTAATTTTCTAGTGATTGCAACACATGAGAGAGATAGAGAGTAAAGTGATGACGATGATGATGGTTGTGTTTGTTTTTATTGAGTAACACGATTGCAACAAGTTTTGACACCAAAGAAAGATGATAAATACACACACACACACACACACAAGTTAAGCACACGCGCGCACATAGTGAGAGAGGGAGACTGAGGAAGGGTTTTGTGTATAACATTATAAATATAGTTTCATTCATGCTCTCTTCCTTTCTTTTCAAGACTGCTTTATGATGAGACATTCAAAGAGTAAAGAAGGGATTATGAAAAATAATTCAAAGCAAGCAGAGTACTATAATATATATATGGCTGTCACAGCAACTGTTTTTTCTTAATTTTTAATTTAATTTGTGTGTGTATGAGAGAGAGAGAAAGAGAGAGAGATTCTTCTGTGGTTGTTTGGAGCTTGGCCTTAAGATCTTTAGCCATTCATCTTGGGATTTTCAAGTGATTTTATTTATATTAAATAAAAAAATAATAATAATAATCATTTCATTATGGAGTCTGCAAAGAATCATCATCACCATCATCAGCTCCAAGATCAAGTTGTTGGCTCCTCTTCTTCTTCTTCTTCTTTAGCTACCCCTTCTAACTACTATGGAGCGGGTACCACTACTAATGCTTGGGGTACTACTCCTACTTCCTTCTTGTAAGTCCCTCTCTCTCTCCACATCTTTTCACCAAAGCCCATTTTGTGAATTGCTTTTGATAACCAAAGAAAAATTTATTTTTATTTTTTTTTTTAAAGAAAAAAGGCAAATTAAGCCAGAATTGACAATTTTGTAATTCCTTGCAACTATCAGTATATGCTCTATTTGTTGTTGTGATTTCCTTTTCATTTAAATTACCTCCTTAATCATTTCATAAATCAAGAAAGTACCAAAATTTAGAGAGGACCAATATTTTNTGTTGCCCTTCACTTTGAGCAACTCTTTCTTCCATGAAAACCTAGGGTTTGAAATTTACTAACATATATATATATTATATACATTTTTGCAGGGACACAAACAATGGTGGCTTCACTTTATACCCAAGTGAACCTAGGCACCATCAAGACAACACTCTACTCTTATCACAATACAATTCCCATATAGTCCCAAGCTTAGGCTATCATAATTGGGCCAAATTTAGCACTAATCAGCCAATACAAGATTATTTACAGCCTCCAAGGATTAAGGAAGAGTATTTGTTGTACCCGAATAACGACACTGGAGTCGTCGTTTCTAAAGGGTTTGGCCAGATTTTCTCGAGTGTTTCGAGTTTGAATCAAATGGGACTAACAAATGCGGGCGCTTTGGACATGAATCTTGAGGCGCTCGATCTCTTGACTTCGTCGAGTTTTAGTGGGAATTTCGGAGCATCTTCGCATAATCAAATCGGGATTTTGAGAGATGGGTTTAGTAATTATGGCTTGTTTGATGATCATATGCAGCAATCTAGTGAAATCCCATTTTATGACTCTAGTAAGGTGAGTATATGTTCTTATATTTACAAGTTATGACTTATGAGTATGTACAGATTTTTTATTTTTCTTTCTTTTGGGTATGAACTTCTTGTGGTTCTTCTTGATTTTCCTTTTACTTTCTAATTAAGGTTGGTTTAGGATAATTAATTGAAATCAAATTTTAACCATTATTTCTAGTGGCATTTGAAGTTAAGTAGAACCAGCTTCATCTAATTTCTTTTACAATAAATCTTAATTAATTTATAGCATGCAATTAACAGGATATGAAACATTAATATATATATTCATATTTAAAAGATATTGGCTTTTTTTTCAACTTTTTTTTCTTAGAGGCTCTATAAATATCAGGAAGGGATTAAGAAGAAATAGAGCTATAGCCACAAACAGATTAATCATCTTTTTTGTTTCATTTCTTTATCTTTTTAGCCTTTCAAATCATATTTTATATCTTTGATCAACTGAGGAAATCAGAAAAACATAAAGCTATGAGTCTTTATTTTCTTTTCATCAGTTTTCTCCCCCTTTTCCTTTATACAATATTTTCCTTTTTATCTTTTTTTTCTTTCCTTTACAGGAAAGAGTTTTTTTTCTCTTTTCTCCATTCAAAGGCTACTTCAGCTTTTTGCATTATGTATGCACCTTTATATTTTTTCAGAAATTTGTAG